TCTAAGCCCAGGTTCCCTCCCCATGGCCATGCTGCTTTGACTCAGTGTCAGAATTCTCTCCCTAACACTCCTTCTCAGTCAGTCTCAGGTTCTAACCCCTAATGACTTCGGTCATAGGTTCTAACACCTCAGGCACTCTTCCTTGACTATTCCAGCCCACTCCAAACATCTAGTGCATTTCACTCTGAACCACAGGTTAATTCCTTTGCTTTAAACTCACCTAAACCATAGAAGACTAGAGCACTTCCCCCCACCTCCACCCCTAACCCCCTGCCTCCAATAATAAAACATTTACCAGAGTTTGTGCGAATAGTGTCAAACTATTGGCTCAGCAGCTCTGAACCTTTATATGACTATACAGGTCTCTGGTTTTGTCTTTTTGTTAAAAAGCAAACAAAGGAAATGGGCTTCTGGCCACATCTCAAGATTGGGCTCATGGAAAACTGGAAATTTAGAATCTACAGAGGTTTAGGTTTGTTACTCAGTAGCGACTTCTATTATCTTGAGGCTGCATGAGACATGGATAATCATCTAGTCCACTCCCTGGGCTAACAGATAAGAAAAACCAAGGTCCAGAGAGGTGAAGTAACTCCTCCAGGTTCACGCCATGCATTGTTCTCAGAACCACTAACAGCATGGCTGCTGCCCTGGCAGGCTGCTAAGGGCCATTCCAGAGTGCAGGGGTCCAGTTAAGGTGGTGGCCAGAGAGTAGTTTTAATTGGTATTTGAAACAGAACATCAGCTCACTAAAATGCCTTCTCTCTGACACATGCCTGCTCTTCTCTGGCCATGATATTCGCCAAAAGGACTGTGTAAGACACACCATGCTAGCTGGGTGATGCAGAAGTCAGAAAACTAGTCCCCCCAAAATTCTCTTTTAAAATCATTTTGGTCTGGCTTTGCTTTGTTAATTCCTTGAAGTCATAAAATATAAAATTAAAAATGATTTAAAAATAAAACTCCTGGAGACATAACAGCGGTTGTTTTATATTTATCCAAGATTCACACTTGCCCAAACAAATCCACATCACCTGAGGCTGGACCTCTGATGCCTCACGCACTGAGACTTTTGTGTGTGTGGCAAGAAATGTTTAGTGGCTCAATACAGTGACATGAATATAGTGACATAAAGTGATGATGACACTTTCCTCTTCTAATAAGCAAGTGTAATAGAATATTCACTAATGTGGCCAAGTTCAGAAAAAGCTAAGCCTAGTGATCACAATGTCTCAATTATAGATTATCTTCAAGAAATAAGAGTGGGTGCTTCTTTTAAGTTTATATGCAAGGCACAGTGACTGGAAGCAACAACTATTCTTATACTGTATGTATATAAAATGATGCATAATTAATATAGCAACTATTTACCAAGAAATAGGTCTTCTGAAACGGATAAGGAAGTCTGAAAACAGTTTAGGTAGCAATGTTTGTACAGCATATGACATTTTTAAAAGTGTATTTCCATATTACTATGTCTCTGATTCTCACAATAGTCATGCTCACGTAGGTTTATATAGAGGTGATGAAAACAAACAACACAGCTGGAGAAGAGGAGACGCTGGACTGAAAACCAGGTTTTCTGTCTCAAGACTCATACCTCACACTGATCCCAGAATCTCAATCATAGAATGAATTCTCTTATTAAATTCTCTCTTCATCAATGAGGAAGAGATTCTGTGCCAGCCCTAACAAACAGATTACAACTTCTAAGAACAGAAAAGTTAAAATTAAGAGTGCTCTTGAAAAACAGAAAATGGACTTAAGATTTTAAAAGGTCACTTATCAAAGCCTTAGCCCTTTAAGATGTTTGCTAAAAGCTATCACTACTGTAAAGCACAGTAACTTCATTAACGAAGCACTGGAACTCAATAGCAAATTTTATTTACTGAATATAAAAAAACAAGGCGTTAGACAATGAAAGCGATTTACTTATTCAAATAGGGAACATGAAAACATGTCTAAAGTGACAGACACCAACTTTTTAAATAGAAACTCTCAATTGGTACCCGACACCTTGACCCTGTTTGCTGCAGAATGTCAATGTTAGCTTAGGATAGATGGTGCCTGAGACAAATTTAGTGCCTGGTACATTTTCAGCATGTAAGAAAAATGTTTTCCACGCACAGCTCCTTTTTCACAGGGTCTGAAAAAACAGACCCTGGCCATAGGATAAAACAAGCCATCTTATCATCAGCTCTGCCTTATTTATCTTCCGTAAGGCCTTCTATGATACAGAAAACACATTTCAAGAAGTTGTCCTTCATGGCTACAGCCCAACAGCCAGAACTACAGTTTGCACAATGGTGTGGCCACCACCCCAGCAGGCAGAGAGGACATCTGGTGGCAAGGTCTCTCAGAATAGACCTGTCAACCCACCGGGTCTCCTGCTCTGCACCTCCTGTTGACTCCTGGGTTCTGCCTGTGAATACAAAACCAACTAGCTTCTTATGAGAAGGAAGTCCCGGGATGAGCACACTTGGGATGTATTACACTAATTAGACAGGAAAAATAGATGCTGACTCTGTATGAGCAATAATATAATAATTGGGCCTAGAAACATTTTGGATCCTTTCCAATGAATGTTTGAATAATGTCTGAATAAATGTTTGAATGTAACGATGAGCAAGTCTAGTGACTAGGTAAATACTGTGTGCAAAATTATGACAACATGATGGCTGCAACACAAACTTTATGTGCATCTAACTATTTTGCCCAGAAGAACAAAAGCAGAACAGAGACAGACTGGGTAAAAGAAGAGAGACTAGAAGAATTTTCAAAGAAAAGAAAACCAAAAATAAAAACCATACCTGAAACCTAAATATATAGGTGCCTAAGTCAAAGTGTCAGGCAAAGTGACAGTCAAGTTTCCCAAGGGAAACATCAAGGGCAACCAAGTCAAGGTGAGTCGGAAAGTATGCGAAGCAGGGAGGCCTGCCAATAAGGGCGCGCCTCCCAGAACACAGTGTTTCTCCACCGCCTTTATCAGGTAATCAGTGACGGCAGGTGGACCCTTGGGTTACGGGAATTATGCAGCCACTGAGTGCTGCTACATTGACTTTCAGCAGCAGATGCTCTCTGCTCTTGTCCCTTAGGCAATTTAAAGGACTTCATACCTAAGAACTTTCGCTCCTAAATTTCTCATTTTGCAGAGAAAAAATAACAAGATCCTTCAAGAAAACAGTAAATAGCAAATGAAGTATTTAATTCTGTTAACTTGTACTTTGTAGGGTCCACTGCCAAAGTCTCCAAGTTTAAGATCAGGATGCACACTGGTCAAGGCAGACACCTTCCATGGGGAGCGCTAGTGAGTGCCACACACTGTAGGGGCTTGGTTTCACCTTCACGCCACATTCTAGGCATGCCTCCCCAGTGAAAACAACGGACATCATATGTGTAAAAGAACTTCAGTTTTAGCTCATTTTTTGTGCATGTATTCTCATTAAGAAGTTACTACGGTTGAGAAAAAAAAGGAAAAGAAAAAAATATATATCAGCACAGGTCCGTTGCCTCTTAAAAGAGACAGACACACGACCAGGTTCATAGCTTGGTTCTGCCAGTAACTGCCATGCGTTACTTGACAAATTACGGTACCTCTTGGACTCTCTTTCCTCACTTGGGAATAATTTTGTTGACTATATTAGCTCATCTGGTCCTCACATTTTTTTAAATGAGTTATTATAAGACATTAGTGTTTTGTTCAAACACGAGTGATTATTACCATCACATAACCAAGCCAGGTTTCGCAAGCGTAAGTTATTGGTTTGAAGAGACATCTATTACTTATGTACCTGTGTTGTGCTAGACTGTTAGGTGGGAGGTGCCTAGACAGAGCAGGAGACCCCCACCCATGCCCAGCCTGCCATCGTGGTGGGCATTTGAGGAGGTGAAAGTGGTAGTGACTAGTTTGTTCAGTAGCCACATAACTGCTAAACAGAGAAAAACCACAATTTAGGGTCTGATTCTTTTTGTAGATATGAATAAGAATTGCTCTAATCACGATCACATTAATCCATGAGTGTACTCACGAGAGGGTCAAATGTGAGCCAAGAGACTGAACTGAGCAAGTGGCTGTGTCTGTCACTGTGGGGTCAAACCATGGCCTGTCAGGTGAGTTTGCTAAAGTTCTAAAATATGGTTCTGCTTCCCACAGTGGCTTTATTGGAAAGGTGTTACTGCAATCATTTTTACTTGGGACAGCTCCACCTCCCTCCCCACGCTCTGTAGGCCGCTAGCTATTCAAAGGACGGGTGAGCTGCAAGGGGCTGAAGCAATTCAGTAAGCAACTGAACAATGATGTACTGAGTGTCCAATGTCTGCAGTGCGTGCACCGGGCACAGAAACGCATCCTTCCTGCTCTCCGATAAGCATCTGGGGGCCAGAAACCAGAGGCACAGTGCGCTAGCACTGTAAATGTGAGGCACAGCCAGAGAGGAGCACATGGAAGCGGAAGGGGGAAGGAAAACCAACACAGGGTGGCACCTGCTGTCGTCACTGGTTGCCTCATTTAATCCTCACAAGAAACTCTGTGATAATATCCATCCCTATTTTACACACAAGGAAACTGAGGCTCAGAGGGTGAAATAAGCTCTCCGAGGTACTGGAGCAGGAAGCGTCGGTTCCAGGACTTGTCTGGAACTTGCTCTAGGATGTATGTGTCTTCAAACCAATCTCGACCACCTACACCTGGCTGCCAGATGCTGAATGCAAGGAAATGAAAGAAGGAAATGAAAGACGCCTCCTTCTGACCAAAGCAAGGGAACTCTGACATGGGCAATCCCTCAGGCCAAGCCCGCTGGCCACATGGAAAGGGAGTCGGGAACCTACCAAGTAGCACTGACCCCTCAACCGCACTGCCCCTCACTCAGCCGCCGGGAGAGCACTGACGTGTGCCCCCTGTATTACAGCACGGGCGGAGTCCAAGGGAAGGAACTCTTTTCTAAGCTGTTCAGCGACTACCCTCCTCTCTCCTCACACCTAACTGTGCCCCAGTTCTGGCTCACCTCCTTATGGCAATCTTTGTGGGCTTCCAGGGTCTTCATGATCGTCAGCTCAGCATAGTTTTTAAATCTCGCAGGCTGGTTTCTCAGAATTTCCCGTAAAACTCTCAGTGCCAGTGCTCGGATGGAGTGCTGAAGTACAGAAAGGAAAGGAAGACATCAGCACACAACGCAACGGCACTTCAGTACACACACCTGTTGGCAGGACCCAGCGGGCCCAGCACCCAGAGCTGGGTTTTCCTGGCATCTTCCCCGGCAGACACCTTGACACAGATCACACTGCTTACCTGACGGAGGCTCTCTACACAGCCAGCTCCATGAGGACAGGGCCATGCCTATGTGACATTCCCAGGACCTAGCATCTAAGAGGGACCTCAGGAAGGTTTCTTGAATGAACCAAATGAGAACAATACATTTAAGTTCATTATCAGTCTCCTGGAGATTTCCAGATTTTCTGAGGCTTGGATATGCAAATTACCTATTTGTATAATGTACAAAAAGACCAGTAAAGAGCATCTAACATTTGACAACATCACCTGTAAGACTGTGAACTCGCTAAGGACAGTTGGAGACCTGCCATTTACTATTCCCGACCTGCGTGATGAGATCGTGGGGGAGGGGAATTTGTACAGGCCTCGGGTTGCTGGAGGACCTTGAGGCCCCAGTCATGTGTCTGGAGGAAAGCCATTCCAAACAGACTCCTAAGCTCAATAAAAGAGAATGGAGTTTACACCAAACACAGCCAAAAAGTACATCCTGATTCTTTGTCACTCATCTGTACAATTCACACACTAACAAACCGTCTAGCTGCCCTCTACATGACATCACTTTATCTCCCGACCACAAAACCCCACCAAGCAGAAGTGCTTCAGGAGCCAATACTTGAAGAAAAGTTAATAGAGATCTTTTATCACCATTCTTCTATCTTGACTCACCCTCTACCAAACCATTAATCCTAAGCTTCAGAAAGCAGTCAGAGTTACCATGACACTCAACAGCCTCTGTTCACCGGTCTTCACTCAATCACCACCACCATGACCCTGGGCGTGACCTCTGCACCGTGGGCTGTGGGGCTTCCACCTGGTTCCTGCCCTTAGAGCTCCTCACCACATTTACTTTATTTTTGTTTCTGCTAGCCTACACAAAGCCCAGTGCAGAGAGCTGGATTTTCACTTCTAGAGTGTAATGCAGGCAATCCCCACATTCCAGTTTCTGTTTGTGAGAACATAAGGCTGTGACTTGCTTCCTCCTTCTTTTAAGAGCTATCTACTAGGCGCCACATGTAGATTATAACAAATGCCTAGTTTGTCACATTCAAATGTCACAGTTTGAAGAGGGCTCCTTATTTTAAGAACAATAGAAGAAAATCGACAATCATCATTATCTGTGGTTTCTGAACCTGTTGCTTGACCAATTAGGAATACCGGGACTTGTAACATATATAGGGATGAACCAAGACAGAATTTCACAGAACACAGCATTCAGTAGGGATTAAAAAAAAATAAACCTCTCTGTTTCTCAATTATACATGAACCACAAAGAAAACTCACAAGGAAAAAAGCTCATTGTAAAAAAACACATTTTATGCTAACGAAGTTTTAAGAAAGTCTGTGTTAAAGTGACCTGACGTAGGAACAAGTTTCCCTCAACTACTACAAAGCCAATTACAGAAAAAACTGGCGTATAAGACAGGATGGGCCTGTGTCTGACAAAAACATTATCCTACTAACTGGTGCTCGGAAAACACTGGAAACATGTTTTGATGTAAACAGTGAGCACAATGCAGAAAGGAGAGCTGAAGCCAAGCCACGCCGCAGAAACCAGGAAACACCAGAACCCAGAGCGCTGCTCACGTCTTTGTCTCCGAGGGTCTCCAGCAGCAGGAGCAGGATGGTCTTGAAGTGCTCCTCCCAGACGCCCAGGCTGTCCTCCCGCGTGATCTTGAGCAGCTCCAGCAGGGCGCCCTTCCGCTCCTCCACCCGCTCGTTGTGGTTAGACAGCTCTTTCAGAAGGTCCGCCACCAGGTCAGAATGGTCAATGGGCACTTGGGAGACACGCGAGACAGAAGTTACTTACTGTGTGAGAAAACACCTGGCTCCAGGGCTCCCCCAGGGATGCGCAGCTGTCCTGCCACTGCTCTCCAGCCTCCCAGAGGCACCCCGACGTCTCCCATCAAACCGTCATCCCACTCCGTCCCACCCAGCACTCTGCACACCCTCAGCAGGTCATCTCACCAAATTAACTGTGAAAACAGGTGGGTGAGCAGGTGTCAGGCACCAATAGTCAATGTTTCTACCCTGCCTTACCATCTTTTCTCCCCTTCCCTGTCAGACAAAGAGGAGAATCCTTCCAAAAGCCCCTCTTTGACTGTCTTCTTTGTCCAAACTCTATTTCCACTACAGCAGTCCTAAGGCAGGTCCTACCAGTGGAAATCTCTCACTAGTAGCAAATCCACTTAAGTATACACATTTTCCTCAAGACCCTCATCACTATACAACCGACTGATTAACATCCATTCCCTTCTCGAATGTCCACAGGTTAGGGACTAGCACAGCAAACAAACACCAATCGAGATATTCAGGCTATTCATCAACTGTCTAATTGACAGACTGTAAACTTTGCCAAGATCTCTCAGCATAATTACTTGCAGGGACCTGAACCATGGCTTATACAGCAGAAAAGCATATCCTTTCTCCTTCCATGTTCTTTTAAGAGACCTCAACTCTGAATTCACTTTAAATAGAAAGGATAAAAAAACAAATCAGACAGGTCATCAGGAACTACTTAGGTTTGTATGTGTATGTCTCTTTAACTTCCAAGACTGGGAAACAAACACATAAGGAAGTTTGGACTGTTGAGGAACTCTTATCAATTTCCCCCTGCTATCCATCCCACCATTTTCTTTAAAGATTTTATTGGGGAATTGTGGGAGGGAAACAGCATTGGGGAATCAGGGAAGGGGAACAGACAAGTTGCTGTCCTTTTGTTCTTCAGTCTAGTTGTAGAGGATGTCGCTTCACTGGCCCATGTTGGTATTGTGATCTTTGTGCTCTTCCCAGCTGAGGCAGATCGGTCGCTGGCCATTGGATGGCCGCCCACAGCAGCGAATGGCAGCTCATGATGGCTGCCGGCTGCTCACGCCAGCTGCCAGCCACTCACAGTAGCTCACGGCAGCCCACTGCAGCTCCACTGCAGCCTATGCAGTTGCCGGTGACTCACAGCAGCCCAGCTCCAGGTCAAGCTGTTGTTCACCATCTTAGCTGTAGAGGGGGCAGCAGCATCACTGGCCCTCATGTGGGATCCGAACCGGGGCCCTGCTGCTCAGAGCTCACGCTCCAAAGCCAACTCCTAACCAACACGCCACTCGGCTGGCCCCATCCCACCCTTTTCTTTAAGCCTTTAATTATATACAGTTGCTGAATAAATAATAACCAACATCCTAATCTCTATTCTGTCTTCAACAAGACCAACAAATGAATAAGTTCAATGATGGTACAATTCTATGTGCGATGAAAGGAAATAAATAGTCCAATACTCCTAGAAAATGCAAGTCATAATAAACACTATACCAACTGCCTACTGCTCAACACACAGACACCTGGGTATATGCTGAGCTGCTACCCATCAGCAAGCAGCAATTAACAGCCAGGGGATTACGCGTTCAACCTCTGAAACTATTTTGGCTCTCATACAACTGGAGGACTTCTCTTCTGTCTTAGGATTCCATCACTACCTGACTGCACCCAAGTGCAGTTTTCTTTCTTTTATGCCCCCAGAATCTGGTATGTGCCTCCAGCGTGGCCCTCCCCTCTTAGTAGTGCAACCTGATGAGTCTGTTTCCCCTGACAGGCCTTGAGCTCTTTGAGGCCAAGGACTGTGTCTCATGTACCTCCATGTCCCCAGCAAGCTATATACTTCATGACACACAGTAGGCACTCAGTGAATGTTAATTGTTTAGAGTTCTAATTTAATACTTCATTCAAAACTGAAAACCAAAACAGAGCAGGCTTGGAAACAAAACAGATATACGATGTATAATTTTTAAAAATGACTACTAAGTTGAAATATTGGGTTGTCGGAAAAGTCATAACACATGTTTGCAACAGATGGCACTAGTTCATTTTTTAAAATACTAAAGTCATTCGCACCTATCTTATTGTTATATTATTTGACAGCTGAAAGTTCTAGCTTCATTCTAAAAAAAACTGAACAATTTGGTTGAGTTTTGGAGATTTACAAGTTGAAGATGGAAGACCAAACTGTGCATTTTTGCCATATTTTACTGTTTTACTTTCATGAAGAGAAGAACGCATGTCAAGCTTGTGAAAAGTTGCGTGAAGTTTACGGTGACAATGCTCTACAAGAGTGTCAGTGCCAATGATGGTTCGCAAAGTTCCTTGCTGGTGATTTTGATCTCAATGACGCTCCTCAGTCAGGGAGGCCCACCGA